GCCCGGTCCCTGCGGCTGTGGGCACGGTCAGAGGGAAGGCCTGGATACAGCTGGAGAGCCCAGCCCGGCAGCAAACCGCAGCACCGACCTGCGAACCTCCCCAGCGGGATCCGGCTGATCATGGCAGCAGATTTCTGAGGGTCGCTCCAGTTAATTCTCCCCATGTTGGTCATCACCACGGTGGGGTTCACAGTGTTCACCCTGATCTGGGACCAAGAGCAACAAACAGTTGAACCCGACTGCTCCCAGAGGATCTGCTCGGGCGCAGCTTTCACACTCTTCTGTCAGGAAGACTCCTACCTTGTGGGGTCCCAGCTCCATGGCCATTACCTTGCTCAGCATATCCAAAGCACTTTTTGTGGAACCTTCAAGAGAAGGGAAAATCAGAGGCGTTTCAGTGTGTTGCACTGGTCTGGGACACACAGTGTTTCACTGCCCAGAACTGGCAGCCTGGGGCTGTGGGTCTGCAGTCAATAGTGAGAGCAGCACTGCTAAGGCTACGCGTACTTACAGTACACGGCGTGGTCCCGCAGCGCGCGCTGAGAGGCCTGGCTGGAGACGTTCACGATAGCGCCTGGCACCCCCTGCGCAATCATCTGCCGAGCTACAATCTGGGGAGGGAAGGCAGCAAAAAAGGTGCCAGAATCGTAACAGGAGAAATCATTATTTCATTCAGCAAAAAAGGCTATTACGGTAGCCAAAAGAGCAAAAACATCTGGAGGAAGCAAGTCCTCACTGCCTTCCACTTGCAAGAGACAGAGTCAAAGCAAGAGAGGGCCGGGGCCGCACAAGCTGTCAGGTTAATTTGGGACAGGTCCCCTTAGCCCCCGCAGCGGACGCGTCTCCCTGCTGTGCAGAGCTGCTCAGTCCCTGCTGTTCATGGAGACAATTGCAGTGGCAACCCTTCCTCACCTGGGAAACGTGAAGCACAGCCCGGAAATTCACATCAAGAGACCTACAAATAAATAAAATGTAGAAGTTACAGCGTGGTGGCAGCCTAGGCCAGAGAGGAGTCGTTTTGGGAGGCAGCAGAGGACGCGTGCTGCCGGTATCTTGGAAGCACCGGTGGTACTGAGAGCGTGGGCAAACACCGAGCTGAGCGGCGAGCAAGGGCGACTGCCAGCAGTGACCTGCTCGCTGCACGTCGGCTGTTCAGTGTGCAGGGGAGGCATCGTCACCTTTCTAGCAGGACTCTGATCTTTAGCAGACTAACGTAGGTCTTTATTAAAGTTTAAACAGTGAGCCCTGGGCCTCAGCCAGTGACTTGTGTCAGGTCGATCAAACCCTTCACAAGGCTTTAAAATAGCAACTAAATCTGCTGTAAGATCTGCAGCCTTTCCTCACTTTGCCACGTAGTGCTTCCTTGGTCAGGTTTTTACCTGCTAGTTCTGCAGACTGAGCTTACTCTGTATCCCAGGCACAGATTAATCCTTCGTTACTGACCCGCAATGGCCGTTCTTCATGGCTCGGAAGCAGACTCACCATACCCCGCATCCTAGAGCTTGGATCCCATGGATCTTCTGGGAAAAGCGATGTCGTGCTACTGCAATGAGCAAACTTGACTTCCCACTGTGACAGTTCTGTACTCCCTCACCTGGTGCTGTTTTCTCTGTATCTGAGTTGTCTCACCTGAGCAGAGACTGAGCTGGGGCTGACCGGGCGTGCGGGCTGGGGGGCAAGCACACACCCCCACCCCAGAGCACCCCTGGCCACATCCTGGTGGTGTGCGGTCAGCCCAGGGCTTTGCTTGGTTCCTTTTGGTGTTTGCAGGGTGAGAGGCGGTTGTGTGAAGTATTAAAGACACGCAAGCAGACATAAGCAGTAACAACCAGCAAACCCCTCAAGGTGAACGTTG